TCTGTGTGTGTGTGTGTGTGTGTGTGTCTATGACAACAAAGCCCCACTATGCCCGCTTCTGTTGCCTTTCAACAATGCGCGCACCGGAGGCACCCTATGGCTGTGGATGCAGCCACTTCGCACTCGCTTGGGGCAGGGGAGGCTTGTTGGGTAGTAGTGGTGGCTCATTTCCGTGTATATATGTGTAAGCAAGAATAGTTTGGACATAACGTGCAAAATAATAATAACAAATAACGAAAGCAAAAAAAAAATAATAATAATAATCTGTAAATGTCAGTGGGGGATCCCCCGTGCACACACTACTTCCGATTGTTCGAAGTATTAGAGGTCTTTCAGACCTCTGCATCCTCGAGCATCAACAAGAACAGCCCCCGCAACTCCTCTCCACACGCCCTCGCTTGTGTAAGGTGCAGTGAGAGGCTGTTCAGTTGTCGCACCACACGTCGCCATCGATTTTTGCGGGAGTTGCCCTCTGCCGCAGTAAAAGATGTACCATACTGCTTATTTTCCTGCTCCTGCACGTGACGTGGTGGGGGTAAGTCAGGTGCAAACGGGAGCGGCGTATGGGCCCCTGAAGGGGTGGGCAACAACTTTCCATCAATTGTTTGCTCCAATAAGCTGGCTCTCCGGCCCAGCAAGTTGGTGGCTGCTGTTGCTGCCGAGGTAGCACGCATGGAAGAAGCACACCCAGGCCCAAGGTCCTTATTCCTTTCGCCGCCTGGTTCACGATATTGGTGGGAAGCCGCCTCGGCCAAGTGGTAGTCACTCATGGGAGTCACGCAAGCCGATGGAAGGCAACAGTTGGCTGCCGCTGCCGCTGCTGATGTATCTGATGTATGCCCAGCTTTGGGCCGCTCACTTACTGATGTTTGTTGAGGCTTCTCAATTGTTGGCGAAGCAGGCGTCTGGATGCATAGCGCGTGTTGTGATGCGCCAGAAGGCTTCACGTTCAGTGGGGCTGCCTCAGGTGGAGAAGCGACTATCTCCCCAAAAGCAGCAGCTGCAGCTTCAGCGGCTTCAGAAGCAAGTGGCGACGCCCTTTCGCAGTCACTAGCCATCGGATGCGGTGGTTGTGCGACATTTGCTGTTTTTGTCTCCTCTGTTGAGATTATGTTCTTGCCCTTTCCAAGTCCTTTCGTTGTGGCTTTGCATTGCCGCCTCCCCGCTGCTCCTCTCCTTGGCGGCGGTCTTGGCGTTTTTGTATCGCCAGCACCGCGACGTCTTCGCTTGTGTGGAAGCATCTCCTCAAGGTCCAGGAGGACCTTTTTTACCTCGGGCAAGAGAGGCAGGTGAGCCGCATTCTCCGGTGCAGTCGTAAAATCTGCAAAGTTGTACGCAGCCCCACCAGTGAGGTTGGCGCCGGCTGCGTTGCGCATTCCCGCAGCGGCGGTGCTGTGAGAGACAGAGACCGTGTCATGTCCCGCAGGAGGCGCCGCAGCTGCTGCCGATGGTGGGGTAACACTATTTAGCGTTGCTGGTAAATGGTCGTGGGGAGCGCCGGCCGCTGACAACTCTACTGATGCTGCTCGGACCGCTGCTCCTGTTGCCGCAACTGCCTCATCCACTGTGGCGGCTCCTGCAAGCAGCGACGGCGTCGGTGAATTCTCCTTCCGGGCTCGCTTTGGCGTTGCTCCCACTTCTTCCCTCATACCAGCTCCCACGTGAGGCGGGCGTCGACACGGCGCCGCACAGCGCCGCGATTTCCCCTTCCCCGGCACCTGCCTGGCCCCCTGCAGGTCTGTCGGTGATAAGGAGGGGGGCGGTGGCGTACTTGCAACCGCCGCCTCGCTGCTACCGCCAGAAGCAGCAACGCCGCGTTCTCTGTTCTGTGTCGCGAGGTGTGCCAGAAGGCCGCTGTTCTGTGAGGTAAAGCCACGCGCTAAGTGCACTGCCGAAGTGTCCATCTCCGCGTCCAGGGCCTCCAAGCAACGTGAGAGACGCTCCTCCTCCTCCTCCCCCACACGCTGCGCATTGCTTGCGTTCATGGAAGCCACCGGCGTCGTCTTCAGCGTGGAAGGGGCAAAATTCTCACGCGTATCCCCTCCTTTTGTCTGGCGGTTACTCCCCGCAGCCGCCACGGAGGTCGCCGCGCCTGGCGAGAGGCTGCGCACTGTGACTGTGGCAGCCCTTTGAGATCGACACGCCGCCGAGACATTTTCGCTGGAGGCGTCCTCGCCGCCGCCCCTGTCATCGTCACCGTTGCTGCTCTCACGAAGGCGGACGTCGTCTCCCCCGCCATCGGCCGCAGACGTTTTTTCGGTTGTCGCCACTGAGGCTGCCTCGGGGCTCGGTGGGTAATACGTTAGCGGCAGCGGCTCCGTCGTGCTCACACGCGACGCCGAACGCGCCCGTCGGCTTGCTGCCACCAACGGCGCGACGGACCGCAGAAAATGCGTCATGTCCGCCTCGCGCAGCTGTTCAATGAGTGTGCATGGTTTGTCCATTTCCGCATGCGTGAGACTCTCTCCGCCGTCCAGCTCGGAGAGGAAACCGTTGGCCTCCGCCCAGCGCCACACAATCGAGCGGGGGAGTTCGATTCGCATCAGCTGCTGCTGCCGCACGACGCGAAAATGTAGTAGAACGTCATATTCAATCCAAAGCGGGGACGTAGTTTCCCCCGCCGCATCCTGCGCTACAAGCTCGGCATGATTTTCGTAGAAGCACAACTCACCGCCGGCAAACTGTGCCGCCGAGACGATGCAGCGGAGCAACTTGTAGCGGGCAATGGACTGCGACACACAAGCCATAATAATCCTCTACGCAAAAAAAAACCCCACGCCTTATCTTTTTGTGATCTTTCCCGTTGCCGTCGGAGTTTGGCCCCCGTGCCTATGCAGCAGGCAGCAACAAAACAGAGAAGGCGTCTGGCCTCCCTCCCGCTTCGTCTTTTTCGTTGCAAAATATGTGCGTAAACAATGATGGTGGGAATAAGAGTGCAAGAAGAGTGGGGACTTTATCCAGCGCGCCCCAGAAGAAAATACGCCATCACACACTCACTCACACGGACTGTGCGCCCTGCAGTGCAGCAGACCTTACGTAGCGCAGGGGCAAAGATTACACTCAATATATATGTATATACTTGAGTTGGTGGCTCATGGGCAGAGCTTGTCAGTCAATAGTGGGGGGAAAAAAGGGGGAAGAAAGGAAGAGCAAGGCAGCAAACACGAAAGTTAGAAATCACTTCGCTGCATCCCTGTACATCATTGGGCATCACAGCCCCCGAAGATGCCTTTGTTCTCGTTGCTGTTGCAGCAGCGGCACGCGGCGACGGCACTCCCGCATTTTCGCCACTCTGTCACTTCGGCGGCAACCGGCGGCAACAACGGCGAAGGACGACGCGAGTAACAGCGCAGCGACGGCCCACTAGGAAAACGGCACACAAACCGCATCGACGGGGAGCCCCCACGCCCAGCCATGCAGGATATAACAGCGCCTGCCTTCAGCCCCGCGTGAGGTGCCACGGCAGCGTCACCCACGCCTCTCCCTCGCTGAAGCGCGCCAGCGGCTGTCAGCGACGCACAAACAAAATTTAAAGGCGAGGAAGAACTGCCCGGCCCCCTCTCGCTGCCGCCTTTCATGCTGGTTGGGCCATTAGCCGTGGGAGTGCGAGAGACACCCGTAGACGGAGAAAAAGAAAAAGCAGGGCCAGTACGAAGTTAAAGCCAATGCAAAAGCAAATATTAGGAAACACCTCAGCAGCCAAAAAAAAAAACGAAAAAGAAGCGAATGGAGTCTCTGTCCAAAATTGATGGTATTCGTCACCCCGACACATCCCCACTACAAGACACACGCGCGTGGAGAAAAACAAATACAATTTTATGTACATTTGAACAGGGCGTCGCACTCCCGCCTTCCGATACATGTGCGGCACTCACTGCTACCCCAATATGAAGTACAGTAAACCCCCTCAATGACCGCATACGCTCAATCCCTTTCACAGACTCAACGTTTTTTATACAGATCTTTCCTCCAGCTGTCCATCCTGCTCGTGGACATCATGCTGCTCCTCGGCTTGTGCGTCATGCTGCTCCTCAGCGTAAGCACCCTCTTGCTGCTGATGCTCGTTCTCTTTGAGGTCATCCTGTCGTTTCACGTCAGTTTCAGATTGTTCTTGAACAAGGGACGCAA